ATATATATATATATTGTTAACTTTGAGAAAATTTCTCTAATAGAGATAAAATTCCTTGTGTTGATTTTCCTTGTTACTGTTTCTCAATAATGAAACATAACAGATTGCACAAGCTTTGAAACCGTTAGTGGTTCGTGGTGGATTCTGGGGATCAGTTAGGACGCTTGCACGAGTTTACGAAATCATAATCGGATTATTGCTATTCACGCCAGTCGCATTCTTGGCATGGTTCCCGTTTGTGTCTGAATTCCAAACTCGTATGCTGTTCAACCAAGCTTTCAGCAGAGGTTTGCAGATATCTCGTATTCTTGGCGGGCCCAAGAAGGACCGCTCGTCCAGCAACAAGGAGTAAAACCTCAGTTCATAGGATATCTATATATGTATATAAATCCTGTTAATGTAATACATATCCTCTCTATGTATATGAATAGGTCTTAGGTATCATTTTCGAAGTTACTATGTTGAAGGGAAAAAAAAAAAAAAAAAAAAAATGATTGTTGTATTCTTCCCACTGTGTTGTAGATTTTGCAGTTCTATTGTATATGTAATAATTTAGTCATTATGGAAGTTGCAACTGAATTAAAAATAAAAAATAAATTGATTAAATGAAAAGGATAAAAAGGAAAAAAATCAAACTACAACAAGAACCTCCGTTTTGTAGACTTTGATGCTTGTCGTGGACACGACCGTCTCCTTGGTAGTGATAGCTTACTGCATTATTGAGCTCGGGGAGCATCGATTGTGGGGGATGATACTTTTCCTTAGCCTCGTACGTTGCAACGACGCAGATTCTCAATTTGCCTCGACATTTTTGCCTCTACATTTTCCAGACACGGCCATTAGGGTGCCTAATTGCATGTTTCTGTTGTATACATCAAGTTTGGCCTACTTGCTGCCACAAGTTTGTCGCTAAGAGATACCTCTCACTGCTTCATGGAGTGTTGCATTGGTTAATATAAAAATAGATCTTTTGTAGCTCACAAATTATAGGAATTTAGGCATTCTTCCTCGTCGGTACCCAAAAATATTAGCCGGAATGAATTAAATATCAATAAAAGAACTTTTTATAAATGATCCACTAACTTGTCATTTCATATAACCCAACCATTGTTTGATATTTATAATCACGTTGTAATACAAGTTTTATTTCAATCATCAAATTGAAAGTTGGAAGAAAAACAACTATTGTACGACTTTACGGTTTAATTTTTCCTAAGTAGAAGACTTGGGAAAAATCAAATCTATTTTAGATTTATTGAGAAATTAATTTTAAAGTTGAAATGTGGGGAATATAAGTTTATGAAACTCAAAATTGAGTTCAAGTAGCTTAAAATTGACTGGACTTGAAATCAGATCATGCCTTCTGAGGTTGGGTTGGTCAAAGAGTCCGACAAAATGAGCACGGGAACTTCGTTGGTGCCGAAAGATAGCTGACATAGTTTTGGTTGCATTTTTGGGCACGTCTTGAAAGGTGTCTTTTAAAACATGAAACCACTGAGATATCCATGAACTTTTATAAGTACTCAGGATATGAGCGATCTTGATCTCCGCCACCTTTTATGAGGTATTCTTATAGCACATCTTCCTGGCATTGTTAAAGTCACCGTTAGATTGCCCTCCTGAGATCATATGCATGATACCCCCTTTTGCTTGCCTCAGATCTCCTCATTTTATCAATGACATCCCTATCATCATTTTTCTCTTTGTCCTTATCCACTAATTCCTCCAAATGACTTGCGCGTATGAGTCGCTCGAAATCATCCTTGAGCTTACTGTAAGTCCAATGCCCATAATCATAGTGATACCTACAATATGGATCTCCTGGAATTGTGACTACCGAAAGTTGAGAGATAAATCTACATCCAAAGCATCACCAAAAAAACGATGACCTTGGATACGAGGTTGTAACCTTCTCTCCACCTTAGCTTGGAGCTCCATGATTTGGTTCGCCATTCGCTCTAAATTTATATCTCGTAGTGGCCTAGTTACCGCTGGAGATGTGACGAACCTTTCCTTCCCTTCCTCTCTCCTTCTACTCCTAACACCATCAGGTTAGGTTGTTCCATCATTAGGTTGGGCTAGGGGTTTCGTGCCCTACCTATGGCCTTCACGATTATTTGATCTAGCTCCGCCTTCGTGAGCTGTATGACTTGCTCACCTCTTGGTCTCCCCTCTTGATCTTTTTGCTGGTCTATATAAGCGCTTTAGACCTCACAACTGTCACATACCTCCATGCACATCCTCCAGTCCACTTGTAACCACCACAACATGTTACTCCGATGAAGCTCCCTTCTTACCCCCCTAGACGAGAACTTTCTTCCGCTTCCTCAGACCCAAGTTTACTTGATCTCCATCCGAAATCAAGACGTGACTCACCCCCGGTAAAATCGTCCTAGCTGTGACCAAAGTGCCACCCTTATTTGGCCACCCCCGGTAAAATCGTCCTCATTTGACCACCCCTTTGGCGGTCCTGATCTAAAAGGCAAGTTGATCACCCAAGTCTACTCCAAGTAGATTCCCGCAACGATGCCAATTAATATGTCATTCCTCCACGAACCGCTCTTCTAGTGACATGGTTTGATCTCCAGAGTATCTTGCAAAACATATCGAGATGTTCCCAGTGGTAGACCTTTGATGATTAAGTCAGTTCTCAGATTATGAAAGAGGAAAAAGTATTTAAATATATTATAAAGCTAGAGAGTGTACTCCCTTATCCTTTCATACTTGAGACCTATATATAGTAAACCATTGGTTTGTTGCCCATATTATGTCCTATCCTAATGTTCGAACGACGTGGTTGTCTGAAGGTCTGCCCAAAGGCTATCTTGTTGCCCCCAAGGTCTTCCCAAGACCCAATATTATCTCTAAAGTGATCTAGATCCTTAGATAACCCTCAACATCACCCATAAAGTATGTTATCCAATAGGTCCCTGATTTACTTCTTGTAGGTCATTCACGTGTTATGCAATAAGTTCACGTACGTTAACTGTCCATAGGTTTTCACATGCTAACTTCTCACGCTAACGCCCATATTTTTTTATACTTGTTGAAGTATTTTAAGAAATGTCGAGTGTAGGTTACCACGACCTCTAGTAATTTTTTTCAAAATTTCTATAGAATCACTCAAGGAGAATAAGTAGGTCCTAGTACTTGTGATTCTAGTGGGTGCATGGGTTGGCAAACGCGTGTGGAGTGTGTAAGGCCAACTTCTTTAAGGTCGACACTAGAATTGGTGAGTGCTACATCACAAGTATCATAATACAGTTATCACATAAATTGAGACCTTATCTCGATTCATATCTTAATTTTAGACCCACAATAATGATAACTGAGGCAATATATAAGAACATTTATTGAGGGTTCCGTGATCATGGTAAACCCTAATTAGCCCTAGTTGCTCATACTCCTTCCTAAGGGAATAGACGTCTTTGGGATGAATGCCAGTCTTCTTGTTGTTTTCTACTGGGAATGTTGTGATGTTGTCCATTTCATGACAGTGATAGGAGAGACTCTTAAGGATTGGTAATGATCTGTCGAATCTTTAGATCGACGATGATAGGTTTAGGGCCACCATTTGACCTTGTTGGTTGATCTCATGGTGTCGCCCATCAAGATTCCTCCCAACAACCCCCTGCCTCTTCTTGGCCCCGGATGTCGAATGATCTCCAAGTCGTCGAGCGCGGTCTTGATCAGGGATGAAACCATTTTTGTCCAAATTGGAGATTGATCGTTGGATTGGACGCCTTATGACCGCAAGGGAGGACTGGTGAAGATGTTCCAAAAGGATCACCCTTCCGGAGCCACCCTTAGATCGTCTGGTCACTATGTAGCTTTATTATTATAGGACGGAGTTTTACCAATAAATTCTTGTTGAGGTGAGCTAGTCGACCCGTATTCATGTTGAAGACGAGCTAATTTGTGAAACAAATGAAGGCGAAGAAGATTATGCCCATCATAATTTTTAGTGACAAAGTGCCAAGACAAATAACAAAACAATAATATACAGTATAGGGCAAATTTGGCGGTGATGGAATAACGGGAAAAAGGGATTGACGAAGGTTCAACGAGTGCCCTCCTTCTAGCGCCAATTTGTTGATGAACGGTTTTGTCAACAAGATTAAGAAGCGATAATATAATATATTGAGACTATAATATAAATCGGATTGTGAAAATAAAAAATAAAAAGAATAAGATAGTCGACTAATTAGGTGTTTGATGGTATGCATGTACCGTATTTTATATATAAATATGGCTCATCTTGTGATATTTTATAAACTGATTTCATTCATTTTGTCTTTGAATTGAATTCGATGATCCTTTTAAGTATCGGGGCGTGGCTATTATATACAAGAAAAGTAAAGACATCGTGGGACACGTGGCAGGTTTTGGATGGGTGTGCCACATGCATAGTGACAATTTTTGGGACTTTTGTCCACATAACTTGTTTTGTGGTCAGCGAGTCCGTCCACAATGGGCGGTGCGAACTGATTGTGGAAGGCAAATCATCTTCAGATTGAATAGCGAGATCGGCATGAAGGAATTTTTGTATATCTTTGGTGGGTTCCGATGTGAGGGTGTTGGTCTTGCACATGTCATAGTGACGTAGTATTGAAGAAATTGTGGTCCGAAAAGAGATCGACATCATTAACGTCCAGTTATTCCAATGTAGATGTACTTAGCGTTTTGTGGCTTAGAGTGTTGCCGATGTGAGCTTTGTGCCTCCCGCTTTCCACGTAAACATTATTAAATAGGTAAATTCCAATTGACATTTCACATATAACAACTAGCACTCGTCGGGACGGTTAGGGATGTAAATGGGTCGGGTCGGGTACGGGTTTTGACAAACCCGAACCCGACCCGCATGTAATTTACCCTACCCAAAC